CATCTTCAATCCCACCATCATCATCCTCAATTCCACCATTATCATCCTCAATCCCACCATCATCATCCTCAATCCCACCATCATCATCTTCAATCCCATCATCTTCAATCCCACCATCATCATCTTCAATCCACCATCATCATCCTCAATTCCACCATCATCATCCTCAATCTCACCATCATCATCCTCAATCCCACCATCATCATCTTCAATCCCACCATCATCATCCTCAATTCCACCATTATCATCCTCAATCCCACCATCATCATCTTCAATCCCACCATCATCATCCTCAATCCCACCTTATCTTCAATCCCACCATCATCATCCTCAATTCCACCATTATCATCCTCAATCCCACCATCATCATCCTCAATTCCATCATCATCATCCTCAATCCCACCATCATCATCTTCAATCCCACCATCATCATCTTCAATCCCACCATCATCATCTTCAATCCCACCATCATCATCCTCAATCCCACCATCATCATCTTCAATCCCACCATCATCATCTTCAATCCCACCATCATCATCCTCAATTCCACCATTATCATCCTCAATCCCACCATCATCATCCTCAATCCCACCATCATCATCTTCAATCCCACCATCATCATCTTCAATCCCACCATCATCATCTTCAATCCCACCATCATCATCCTCAATTCCACCATCATCATCCTCAATTTTACCATCATCATCCTCAATCCCACAATCATCATCTTCAATCCCACCATCATCATCCTCAATTCCACCATTATCATCCTCAATCCACCATCATCATCTTCAATCCCACCATCATCATCCTCAATCCCACCTTATCTTCAATCCCACCATCATCATCCTCAATCCCACCATCATCATCCTAAATTCCACCATCATCATCCTCAATTCCACCATCATCATCTTCAATCCCACCATCATCATTTTCAATCCCACCATCATCATCCTCAATCCCACCATCATCATCCTCAATCCCACCATCATCATCTTCAATCCCACCATCATCATCTTCAATCCCACCATCATCATCCTCAATCCCACCATCATCATCTTCAATCCCACCATCATCATCTTCAATCTCACCATCATCCTCAATCCCACCATCATCATCTTCAATCCCACCACCATCATCTTCAATCCCACCATCATCATCCTCAAGTCCACCATTATCATCCTCAATCCCATCATCATCATCTTCAATCCCACCATCATCTTCAATCCCACCATCATCATCCTCAATCCCACCATTATCCTCAATCCCACCATCATCATCCTCAATCCCACCATCATCATCTTCAATCCCACCATCATCATCTTCAATCCCACCATCATCATCCTCAATCCCACCATCATCATCCTCAATCCCACCATCATCATCCTCAATCCCACCATCATCATCTTCAATCCCACCATCATCCTCAATTCCACCATTATCATCCTCAATCCCACCATCATGTTCAATCCCACCATCATCTTCAATCCCACCATTATCATCCTCAATCCCACCATCATCATCAATCCCACCATCATCATCCTCAATCCCACCATTATCATCCTCAATCCCACCATCATCATCTTCAATCCCACCATCATCATCTTCAATCCCACCATCATCATCTTCAATCCCACCATCATCATCTTCAATCTCACCATCATCATCTTCAATCCCACCATCATCATCCTCAATCCCACCATCATCATCCTCAATCCCACCATCATCATCAATCCCACCATCATCATCCTCAATCCCACCATTATCATCCTCAATCCCACCATCATCATCTTCAATCCCACCATCATCATCTTCAATCCCACCATCATCATCTTCAATCTCACCATCATCATCTTCAATCCCACCATCATCATCCTCAATCCCACCATCATCATCTTCAATCCCACCATCATCATCCTCAATTCCACCATTATCATCCTCAATCCCACCATTATCATCCTCAATCCCACCATCATCATCTTCAATCCCATCATCTTCAATCCCACCATCATCATCTTCAATCCCACCATCATCATCCTCAATTCCACCATCATCATCCTCAATTTGACCATCATCATCCTCAATCCCACAATCATCATCTTCAATCCCACCATCATCATCCTCAATTCCACCATTATCATCCTCAATCCCACCATCATCATCTTCAATCCCACCATCATCATCCTCAATCCCACCTTATCTTCAATCCCACCATCATCATCCTCAATTCCACCATTATCATCCTCAATCCCACCATCATCATCCTCAATTCCATCATCATCATCCTCAATCCCACCATCATCATCTTCAATCCCACCATCATCATCTTCAATCCCACCATCATCATCTTCAATCCCACCATCATCATCCTCAATCCCACCATCATCATCTTCAATCCCACCATCATCATCTTCAATCCCACCATCATCATCCTCAATTCCACCATTATCATCCTCAATCCCACCATCATCATCCTCAATCCCACCATCATCATCTTCAATCCCACCATCATCATCTTCAATCCCACCATCATCATCTTCAATCCCACCATCATCATCCTCAATTCCACCATCATCATCCTCAATTTTACCATCATCATCCTCAATCCCACAATCATCATCTTCAATCCCACCATCATCATCCTCAATTCCACCATTATCATCCTCAATCCCACCATCATCATCTTCAATCCCACCATCATCATCCTCAATCCCACCTTATCTTCAATCCCACCATCATCATCCTCAATCCCACCATCATCATCCTAAATTCCACCATCATCATCCTCAATTCCACCATCATCATCTTCAATCCCACCATCATCATTTTCAATCCCACCATCATCATCCTCAATCCCACCATCATCATCCTCAATCCCACCATCATCATCTTCAATCCCACCATCATCATCTTCAATCCCACCATCATCATCCTCAATCCCACCATCATCATCTTCAATCCCACCATCATCATCTTCAATCTCACCATCATCCTCAATCCCACCATCATCATCTTCAATCCCACCACCATCATCTTCAATCCCACCATCATCATCCTCAAGTCCACCATTATCATCCTCAATCCCATCATCATCATCTTCAATCCCACCATCATCTTCAATCCCACCATCATCATCCTCAATCCCACCATTATCCTCAATCCCACCATTATCATCCTCAATCCCACCATCATCATCTTCAATCCCACCATCATCATCTTCAATCCCACCATCATCATCTTCAATCCCACCATCATCATCCTCAATCCCACCATCATCATCCTCAATCCCACCATCATCATCTTCAATCCCACCATCATCCTCAATTCCACCATTATCATCCTCAATCCCACCATCATGTTCAATCCCACCATCATCTTCAATCCCACCATTATCATCCTCAATCCCACCATCATCATCAATCCCACCATCATCATCCTCAATCCCACCATTATCATCCTCAATCCCACCATCATCATCTTCAATCCCACCATCATCATCTTCAATCCCACCATCATCATCTTCAATCCCACCATCATCATCTTCAATCCCACCATCATCATCCTCAATCCCACCATCATCATCTTCAATCCCACCATCATCATCCTCAATTCCACCATTATCATCCTCAATCCCACCATTATCATCCTCAATCCCACCATCATCATCTTCAATCCCATCATCTTCAATCCCACCATCATCATCTTCAATCCCACCATCATCATCCTCAATTCCACCATCATCATCCTCAATTTTACCATCATCATCCTCAATCCCACAATCATCATCTTCAATCCCACCATCATCATCCTCAATTCCACCATTATCATCCTCAATCCCACCATCATCATCTTCAATCCCACCATCATCATCCTCAATCCCACCTTATCTTCAATCCCACCATCATCATCCTCAATTCCACCATTATCATCCTCAATCCCACCATCATCATCCTCAATTCCATCATCATCATCCTCAATCCCACCATCATCATCTTCAATCCCACCATCATCATCTTCAATCCCACCATCATCATCTTCAATCCCACCATCATCATCCTCAATCCCACCATCATCATCTTCAATCCCACCATCATCATCTTCAATCCCACCATTATCATCCTCAATTCCACCATTATCATCCTCAATCCCACCATCATCATCCTCAATCCCACCATCATCATCTTCAATCCCACCATCATCATCCTCAATCCCACCATCATCATCCTCAATCCCACCATCATCATCCTCAATTCCACCATCATCATCCTCAATTTTACCATCATCATCCTCAATCCCACAATCATCATCTTCAATCCCACCATCATCATCCTCAATTCCACCATCATCATCCTCAATCCCACCATCATCATCTTCAATCCCACCATCATCATCCTCAATCCCACCTTATCTTCAATCCCACCATCATCATCCTCAATCCCACCATCATCATCCTAAATTCCACCATCATCATCCTCAATTCCACCATCATCATCTTCAATCCCACCATCATCATTTTCAATCCCACCATCATCATCCTCAATCCCACCATCATCATCCTCAATCCCACCATCATCATCTTCAATCCCACCATCATCATCTTCAATCCCACCATCATCATCCTCAATCCCACCATCATCATCTTCAATCCCACCATCATCATCTTCAATCCCACCATCATCATCCTCAATTCCACCATTATCATCCTCAATCCCACCATCATCATCCTCAATCCCACCATCATCATCGCCCCGTGCGGGAAGGTGGAAGGGCGCCCGCCACGGGCTGCTGGGCACGGAGCGCTCGTGGGATGACGTCACAGCTGCTTGGAGCACGATCTGAAAAGTGACGTCACCGTGCCGCGCTCTGTGCTGCGGTGACGTCATTGGTCCGCTGTTTCCTCTCCCCCCGTGCCCTATGCCCTCGGTGACGTCATTGCCCGGCTGTTTCCTCTCTACGCTCTGTACTGCGTTGATGTCACCGCGGCACGGAGCTCGCGCCAGGCGTTGACGTCACCGCGATGTCGGCGCGCAGGAGAAGCCGCGGGACCCCGCGCAGTGCAAAGACGCTGGAGGAGACGGAGGCGACGTGCGGGGTCCAGGAGGAGGAGGCGGCGGAGGGAGGGCCGGGGGCGAAGGAGAGCGGCGCTGCGGCGCAGTGCGGGAGACTCACGGTGGCGGAGTGGCAGCAACGCGGAGACCACGGTGTGCCTCCTCCCTACCACGTGTGCCTCCTCCCTACCACGTGTGCCTCCTCCCTACCACGTGTGCCTCCTCCCTACCACGTGTGCCTCCTCCCTACCACGTGTGCCTCCTCCCTACCACGTGTGCCTCCTCCTTACCACGTGTGCCTCCTCTCTACCACGTGTGCCTCCTCCCTACCACGTGTGCCTCCTCCCTACCACGTGTGCCTCCTCCCTACCACGTGTGCCTCCTCCCTACCACGTGTGCCTCCTCCCTACCACGTGTGCCTCCTCCCTACCACGTGTGCCTCCTCCTTACCACGTGTGCCTCCTCTCTACCACGTGTGCCTCCTCCCTACCACGTGTGCCTCCTCCCTACCACGTGTGCCTCCTCCCTACCACGTGTGCCTCCTCCCTACCACGTGTGCCTCCTCCCTACCACGTGTGCCTCCTCCCTACCACGTGTGCCTCCTCCTTACCACGTGTGCCTCCTCTCTACCACGTGTGCCTCCTCCCTACCACGTGTGCCTCCTCCCTACCACGTGTGCCTCCTCCCTACCACGTGTGCCTCCTCCCTACCACGTGTGCCTCCTCCTTACCACGTGTGCCTCCTCTCTACCACGTGTGCCTCCTCCCTACCACGTGTGCCTCCTCCCTACCACGTGTGCCTCCTCCTTACCACGTGTGCCTCCTCCTTACCACGTGTGCCTCCTCTCTACCACGTGTGCCTCCTCTCTACCACGTGTGCCTCCCCGTGTCTACTCCCCTCCCCGTGTCTCCTCCCCTCCCCGTGTCTACTCCCCATGTCTCCTCTCCTCCCCGTGTCTCCTCCTCTCCTCCCCGTGTCTCCTCCTCTCCCCGTGTCTACTCCCCTCCCCGTGTCTCTTCTCCACCGTGCGTCGTGTGGGCCCCCCGACACTTTCAAACTAAACCGGACGTAACACCACTGACACCGCGACATCGAATTCCCGGACCCCCTCAAAGCGCGGGGTCCGGGGCGGTCGCCCCGATTCGCCTGCACCCAAGGGTACGGCGATGCCCCTGGTGGTGGTATTGTTGTTGAAGGTGGTTGTTATTTTTTAGAGGCGGCGTTGTTGCCGCGGCTCTGTCGAGGGGACTTGGCTCAACTCTCAGTGGCCACCATGACTCAGCGCCGACTCAGCATCGGGCGACCTGCGCTGTTGTGCAGCCCACACGCGCAGACGGTGAGCGAGAGAGCGAGAATGATAGAGAGAAAGAGAGCGAGAATGAGAGAAAGAGAGAGAGAGCGAGAATGATAGAAAGAAAGAGAGAGCGAGCGAGAATGATAGAAAGAGAGAGAGCGAGCGAGAATTAGAGAGAGAGCGAGCATGAGAGAGAGAGAGAACGAGAATGAGAGAAAGAGAGCGAGAGAGCGAGAATGAGAGAAAGAGAGAGAGATTGAGCATGAGAAAGAGTGTGGAGTGCGGAAGAGAGCGAGCATGAGAGAGAGTGCGATGGAGATGGAGAGCGTGATGGAGTGTAAGCGAGAGAGAGAGCCCCTCTCTCCATGCCAAGCAAACTAAACACTAAACTAAAATATTTTTTGTTTTACCAGGCAAGGCCCGACCTAGCTTCAAATGAAATCCCAATGAAGTGGCTTCTCATGTGGACATTTAGAGCAGCCAAAAATTATTAAACGCATGTGGAGGGAAAATCGGAGGACCCAGAGAAAAATCCACACGTCCACGGGGCGAGAGACATGCAAACTCCAAATATACAGCAGCAGGCATCAGGGTCGGGATCAAACCCACGACTTTCTGTATACCAGGCGAGGTAGTTAACATCTCGCCACTCACAACGAGCATCGGCACCGTGCTCGTCTCCTATTTACAACCCTCGCTCCACTGCCGGACATTACACGTTCCTACGGCAAGGGGTGCGAGCCTCTCTCTCGCGCAACCACCGTTGGCCTCCACACAAAGTGGTACATATTTTATGAGCCCCCCCTCAAAAGGGATGGTGGGTCGAGTCAACCTGGCCAGGCTCTGCTTGCGGTTCTCCACAATCGCGCCCGGCATGCCGAAGCCTCTCGTCCACACCTCTACGTTTCATCGGCGGCATGGGCCACCACAACCTCTTGATCTAAACTAAAAACTAAATTTTTTTTTATTTTACTAGGTAAGTTCCCACTGAGCTGTGTAGCTCTTTGTCAGAAGCGAATTGGCGATCACAAATGATAGCTCAAAGAAGTGGGCTCATCATTTGGAAATTTATAGCAGCCAAATACTCTAAACATTTTTATTGTTTTATAAATATTTTATTATTTCATTGTTTCCCTTTAACGTCACTTTACCGAAAGAGCTAAGAATATGAATTACTGCAGTCACGAAAGCTTTAAATCAAAACTCTAAACATTGTTGATTCTAAATGTGAAGGAAAGAACCGGAGGACCCGGAGAAAAATCCACGCGACCACAGGGAGAGAGATATGCAAACTCCAAATATCCAGGCATCAGAGTCAGGATCGAACCCACTAGCTTTTGTATAACAGGAGAGGTAGTTGACATCTAAACACGTGACCTTGCTTGAACTGACCGTGTCTGCCTCTGCGTGCTGGACGTGCGTTTGCCCGTGCGAAGGTGTGTGTGGTGTGGCCGGCAAGCGGTGTGCCCACGGGCCGCATACGGTTGCAGCCTCGCGCCCTCGCCAGCCTGCGCATCACCCCTGGACAGGAGGTCTGCGTGCAGCCAATCACGCGGCCCATGCTGCCCGCCCAGCTCCTGGAACTCGTGACGAGGTTCGAAGCTTGCGCCGCGCACTTCGCTTGGGAACATGGATTTGCAGTCTTGTTCTATAACGCCGCGTGTGGTTTTCATAACGCGAATTTTATATAACACGATGAATGTATCAGGGAACACATTTTTTGTATAACCCGGATGTGAATTGGATATTACGCGCGAGTAGGAATAAACATGTTCTTTTGGTAAAGTCATGTAGAAGGGAAACAATAAAATCATTAAAAAATAATTACTTTTTTTAATTCTTTTATTGTTTCCCTTCTACGTGACTTTACCGAAAGAACCAAGAATATGAATCCCTGCAGTCACGAAAGCTTTAAATCAAAATTTAGGAATAAACAGTTTTTCCTTTATAGTATCACACAAGGCGAGATACTGCTGGATGCTTCTAGATGCTACCCACACGCCTCAGTCTTTGTTCAGCCTGCGTATGCATCTCACGTGTTATCAAGGACTGTGCTTTACCCTATATATTTATTATAACGTGATTTTTACACACGGTGATCTTCAGGATCGCAACTACCACCGCATTATAGGGGAACACTTATTTCTAAATTACATCCTGGATGGTTTTAGAACACCACCGCCACGTGTCTCTGTCCAGTCCTGCTGGAACGTATATTGTACAGCTTAGTAAATCACAACATAAAACAAAATATCCTTGTAAATACAACGAGAAACAACAATAGCCCCTCCATCTCCGGGTGTACCAAACGACCGACGATGCCAGTGCTCGTTTCCCGCGTCGGTAACAATGACGGCAGCGACGACGGCGTTTGCCGTTTTTCGTTCACCCCGTTCGGTCACTGCAGCGGTGTTAACCGCGCTTGTGACGCTTCCATCATCATCGCGGACGTCCCCATCATGCGTAGGTAATGGTGGGATAATGAGTTTGGGGCTTCCCATAATGCTTGCAAATAAAAGCCTTTGTTTTTTTCGGTCCAATTGCGCAACTCTGTTTGTCGCATCGCCACGAGTACCGGAGAAAACGCGTCTCCTCGTCGAACTCCGCTCAGACCGGTCCATAGCTATACTTCACACTATCGCACCGCACTGTTGCTGTTCCAGTTTTGCAAGCTCGTGTGACTATCGTCATTTCAGTGTGTTTAAGCAAAACTAAAATGAACTTGTCAGAATATATTTAAAATTGAGGAGGGTCCTGCCCAGTTTTCTTCCAAAAGGGGTCGACGATTGCTGCATGGGATGTCCAGTGAAATAACTGTGCTGGTAATTTTTCTTATTTGGAAACTGTGGACCACGACGCCGGCACACAATGGCCCACTCCTCTCCGAATGACGTCACGGCATCTTTAACGTCCACCGTGAACCCCGAGGGCGCGTAGTGTTGTATCCTTAACACACCCGCAGCATGAACCGGAGCCACCTGCCACATCTGAATTGTGAACCTCTGGAACGAGCGATGAACGTGCTGGCGCCGTGCTGCATCGCCTCTCCCGTAGCGTCGAGGGAGGCGCGTGGCTGGGCTCATGCGTCTGCGTGAACTCGCTTTGTTCTCAGGCACGGCGAGCACCACGCGAAGCTGCCTGCCGACTTGCCCCACTTCATCATGCAGCACTTTGGTAAACGCGCTGATCCTCCACACACCATTCATCCTTCACCGTAAGGGTCATCAGTGCAACCATTAATGTGTGTTCACTTGAAGAGCAAAGGTTATTTCACTTTACGGTGATGTGATGTTAACTACTCGCTTGGTATACAGGAGGTCCTGAGTTTGATCTCGACGCCGACGCCTGTATATTTGGAGTTTGCATGTTCTCCCGATGGTCGCATGGATTTTTCTCCGGGTCCTCTGGTTTTTTCCCTCCACATTTAGAATCAACCTACGTTTACAGTATTTGGTTTGTCATAAAATTTCCACGTGATAAGCAACTTCATTGAGCTATCATTTGTGATAGCCAGGTCGCTTCTGAAAAAGAGCTATGTAGCTCAGTGGTCCTTACCTGGTGAAATAAAATAAAAATAGTGTAATAGTTTAGTTTATTTTAAATTGTTAATATCGGCATACTGGTAATCGGCGCCTCGAATCGAGAAACCTGGAATGCATCCGGTCTCCTCAGGTCCTGGACGCTCAGCAGGGCTGAGCTTGGCAGGGGGTGTTGGGAGACCACCGGTGCCACCTTCACACTCACTGTGTCTGACGACTGGATGCAGGGGAATCTGAATGCGAGGATTCCTTCTCCCCCGCCTGCCTAAAAGGCCCCTGGCCATTTTCTCCCCAAAGCACGTGGGATGGAGTGAGTGGTGGGGTAGAAGGTCAAGACTTGGGCCATGTTTGGCTGTGTGTGTGTGTGTCTTTGTCAGTTAATTGTTTATAATTATATTTATAACTAGCGGGAAGTACCCGGCGTTGCCCGGGGGAAAAATATATTTCAAAACTTGTCTTCTCTTAAAAACATAAGATATACATACACAAATACGAAGCTATTGTGAAAGCCCAGCATTTCATTTGTCAACAAAATTACGAGGTCGAAAAAGTAATAGAAATTGGGGGGTAAATAGTTGATCTAAAAGGCTTCCAAAAATTGTCGACCCCACCCCCCCAAAACATTTTTTGACCCCCCAGTAGGCATCTATACCTACATATCCTACATACAATAGAGTGAGTAGTATCTAGTGACTATATAGTAGTATCTGGCTCTACAGTAGTATTTGCTGACTCTGTAGTTGTATCTACTGACTCTAGTAGTATCTACTGAGTAGAGTAGTATCTGCTGACTGCAGCAGTATCTACTGACAGTAGTAGTATCTACTGAGAGTAGTATCTACTGACTCTACAGTAGTATCTAAGACCCTATAGTAGTATCTACTGAACATAGTAGTAACTTCATAATAAAGGTTTTTGGGTTAGATCTCGTTATTTATAAATGTGTCGTAACCCTCCACCACCAGACACAGCCAAACAGTAAAAAACGTGTCATGTTTACAAAGGACAAATAGTTCACTACTTTAGCCCACCGGTGTGTTGAAGAGTGAATCAACATAATTTAAAATTTGAGTACGACGTTTCTCTGGTAATTACATCCAGCTTCATCGGGCAATTCGCCAGAATGGTAAAGCCCTCACTTGCTCCCGGTCTTAAATAGAGCAGCAGGGTGACATCATCATTTAACGTAGTAACTACTAACTCTATAGTAGTATCTGCTTACTCTGTAGTCGTATCTACTGACTCTGCAGCAGTATATACTGACTGTAGTGGTATCTACTGACTGTAGTATTATCTACTGGCTCTATAGTAGTATCTACCGGCTCTATAGTAGTATCTACCGACTCTACGGTAGTATCTACCGACTCTATAGTAGTAACTACTGACTCTGCAGTAGTATCTAATGACTATAGTAGTATCTACTGACTGTAGTAGTATTTCCTGACCGTAGTAGTATCTGCTGACAGTAGTAGTATCCACTAACTATACAGTAGTATCTCCTGACTATAGTAGTATCTACTGACCGTAGTAGTATCTACTGACTGTATAGTAGTGTCTGACTAGCAGTATTTACTGCCCTTAGTGGTATCTACTAACTGTAGTAGTATCTACTGACTCTACAGTAGTATCTGCCGGCTATAGTAGTATCAACCAACTCTATAGTAGTAAATACCGACTCTACAGTAGTATCTAATGACTATAGTAGTATCTACTGGATCAATAGTCGTATCTATTGACTCTATAGTAGTATCCACTGACTATAATAGTAACTACTAACGCTACAGTAGTATTTGCTGACTCTATAATAGTATCTACTGACCGTAGTATTATCTACTGACTGTATAGTAGTATCTACTGACTGTAGTAGTATTTATTGACAGTAGTATAAACTGACTGTATAGTAGTATCTACTGACTGTAGCAGTATTTACTGACCGTAGTGGTATCTACTGACTGCAGTAGTATCTACTGACTCAGTAGTAGTATCAGCCGACTCCATAGTAATATCAAGCAACTCTGTAGTAGTAAATACTGACTCTACAGTAGTATATAATGACGATAGTGTCTACTGAATCTATAGTCGTATCTATTGACTCTAAAGTATCAATTGACTAGTAGTCACTATTAACTTTATAGTAGTATCTGCTGACTATAGCAGTATCTACTGACTCTACAGTAGCATGTACTGACTCTGCAATAGTAACTCCTGACTTTTCAGTAGTATCTAGCGACTCTATAGTCGTAATTACTGACTCTATAATAGTATATATCGACTCTATAGCAGTAGCTACTAACTACAGTAGTATATACTGACTAAAGTAATATCTACTAACTCTATAGTAGTATCTACTGACTTGATAGTATCTACTATCACTACAGTAGTATATACTGACTGTAGTAGTATCTACTATCACTACAGTAGTATATACTGACTGTAGTAGTATCTACTATCACTACAGTAGTATATACTGGCTGTAGTAGTATCTAATATCACTACAGTAGTATATACTGACTGTAGTAGTGTTTACTATCACTACAGTAGTATATACTGACTGTAGTAGTATCTACTATCACTACAGTAGTATATACTAACTATAGTAGTAGCTACTATCACTACAGTAGTATATACTGACTGTAGTAGTATATACTGACTAGTGGTATATACTATCACTATAATAGTATATACTGACTGTAGTATCTACTATCACTACAGTAGTATATACTGACTACAGTAGTATCTATATTTACTCTATAGTAGTATCTACTGACTCTATATCAATATATACTAACTCTACGGTGACTGCAGGAATTCATATTCTTGGATCTTTCGGTAAAGTTATGTAGATAGGTTCAAAGAAAATAACAAAAAACTACGACGTTTCGATCGCAACACAAGTGGTCGTCTTCAGGAAAAGTGGGGTTAGCTTCCAAGGCAAACTGTTTATAAGGGTTTGAAGCTTTTGTGACTGCAGGAATCCATACTCTCTGGTTATTTCGGTAAAGTCACTTAGATAGAAAAAATAATAAAAGAACACGACGTTTTGGTCGCAACACAAGCGTCTGTCATCAGGTGAGAAATAATGATCTGCTGTTGTGGCTTTATGTAGGCACGGGGGGGGGGGGGGGGGGGGGGGGGGGGGGGGGGGGGGGGGCGGGGGAGGGGGGGTTGGGGTTTTGTAGAGTCGTATTGGTTCTACCATGTTTAAAGTCCGTGTGTTCGCGAACCCGGTCTGAGACATGTCGCTTCGTTTCACCAATGTAACTGCTGCCACAGACACAACTCAGCTTATAGACACCAGGACATTGCATGTCCGGAATAGCATCCTTCACCATTGGGATCAAATCACGGATTTTGTGTACTGTATTGAACTGAACTTGGATCTTGTGTTTGTTCAAGATTTTGGAAAACCTTTTGGTGACCCCTGCTATGTATGGCAAGGTGATGGTTGTGCGGTCAGAATATCCATTCCTCCTGAGAGCCTGGCGTACGTGCTCAAGCTCACTGGCTAGGTGGTGCTGGTCGGAGATGCAACGAGCCCTATGGTGTAGTGTTTTGATGAGGGAGTTCTTCTGGGCTGGATGGTGGTGGGAGTCAGGCTTTAGATAGGAATCCGTGTGGGTGGCTTTACTATAGACAGTGTCCCAACGAGCCATCAGGTCTTACAATAACAAAATTCAGGACCTACTTAATGACGGTAGCTATACCAAAATTAAAAGAGATCCCACCAACCGCCTCGTTACAAAAAACAACAATATCACTGATTCAACATCTTTGATCGAACCAACCAAGCGGTTTTCCTTACAAACCTCTGCTGCTAGACCACCCAGATTGTAATGCTTACCAAAAATCCATAAAGAAGGGACACCCCTTCCTATCGTCTCCACCATTGACTCACCCACCTACAAACTGGCTCAATTTCTGTCTGTACAACCATTCACTGGTAAGACCACCTCAGCTGTACTCAACTCAGCTCACTTGGTATCGTGAATTAAGGACATCTCACTCTCTCCAGGTGATTTGCTTGTTAGTTCGATGTGGTCTCTTTGTTTACCAAAGTTCCTGTGCTTGACACCATTGCAATCATTGAAGATTTGGTCCAACAAGGACCGAATGCTGATGTATCAGCCCTGATGTGACACTGCCTCACCAACACTTACTTCACCTGGAATGGAATATTCTACAAACAAGTTGAAGGTACCCCAATGGGTTCTCCCTTATCTCCAGTTGTAGCCAATGTTTTCATGGAAAAATTTGAGACAGATGTCATCCAGGCATCCACTCTAGGTCCGTCCATGTGGAAGAGGTACGTAGATGACACGTTCGTCATCTGGCCACATGGCTGACCAGTTCTGAACCAATTCCTCAACCACATCAGTTCCATACACCCAGCCATCAAATTCACCATGGAGGTGGAAAAGGATGGCAAGTTACCATTCTTGAATGTTTTAATCGAAAAGAGACCAGATGGCTCAATGGGACACTGTATACAGGAAAGCCACCCATATGGATGCCTACCTAAAACCTGACTCCCACCACCATCCATCCCAGAAGAATTCACTCATCAAAACTCTACACCATAGAGCTCCATGTATTTCCGACTGTCATCACCTAGCCAGTGAACTGTAACACGTACACCAAGCTCTCAAGATGAATGGCTATTCAGACTACACAATCCGTAAAGCTATCACCCCAACCATTGGGAAAGAACCATCTGAGGACCCAATCAAAACCATCACCTTGCCATACATAGCAGGGGTCACTAAAAATGTTTCCAAAATCATGAGCAACCAAAATCCAGGTTCGATTTAACACAGTACACAAAATTCGTGATCTGATCCCATCTGTGAAGGATGTGATCCCTGATATGCAATACCCCGGCGTCTACAAACTAAGCTGTGTCTGCGGCAGTAGTTACATTGGGAAAACTAAGCGACATGTCTCGGACCGTGTTCGTGAACATAAGGCAGATCTGAAACCCGGTAGGACCAATATCTCGGCTGTGGCTGATCATTGTTTTAATACGGTGGGCTCACACGAAATTGACTTCTCTAAGACGAAGGTACTTTGCAAGCCACTGGCTATCAACAAATATTTGTTCATGAAATCATCCATATATATAGACACAGACACAATTTCAACCGAGAAGATGGGTACAAACTGAGGAATCATTGGAAGGACGTTATCAACCAGTTTATGTCATAATTGGCTATGATGTTCCCATCCTACCACCTTCCGATGTTAGTTGTGCTTTACGCCCATTTCAAACTTGCGCTTTCACAGTCACTTCGCCTTGGTTGTGGCTCTCTACCTACTCTACAGTAGTATCTACAGACTCTAGTCGTATATACCGACTCTATAATAGTATACAGTAAAACCTTGGATTGCGAGTAACTTGGTCTGCAAGTGTTTTGCAAGACGAGCAAAATTTTTAAATAAATATTAATTTGATAAACGAGCGAGGGTCTTGCAATACAAGTAGTACGTATACGCTTTGTCTGCCGAGCGTCACGTGATCACAACTGATATACGAGTGCTTTGATATATGAGTGCTTTGGATTACAAACACGTTTCCGGAACGAATTATGCTCGCAATCCAAGGTTTTACTGTATATCGACTCTATAATAGTACTAACTACTAACTTCACAAAGTGCCGCGATGAGGCCTCGTCCCGTGCAGAGCCTCTGGCCTCTCCTAGCTTGCCCAGCCGGCCGAGGTGGCGCCTTTGCCGGCTGGGGCTGGACTGCTATCCCCCGCCCCACCATCCCCCCGCCCTCTCCACAGTAGTAGTAGCATCTACCGACTCTATAGTAGTAAGTGCACACAATGGGGTGGGGGGGGGAGAAAAGGACATCATACTGTAAATAATTTACCTCAGCGAATGATAATCCCCTCCCCGTCCCCAACGATTACGTGTGTGTTGCTAGGGCAACCACCACGAGTCGACGTTCTCGCGCATGCGCATAGGTGTGCTTTGGAGCCGCCCCCTGCTTATAAAAGGAATTCATTGTTAATTTAACTACTTTAAAGTTGACGGATGAGAAATACGAATAGTGCTTTTTCGTCCCGGGGCATATCGCGTGGTCTGTGTACTTTTTAATACGTAAGCCCCACAGTTTGTCAGCTAAAAACGTCACAAGGTACCCGCGGCAGACAGACAGACACACAGACAAAAAATTACTTTTATAGATAAGATAATTCATTTTAATAGGTTTTTAAAAAGTATGCCGCCCATTTATTTATTTAATTAAGAGTTACGTTAATGTAAGTGAACTGTGAGGTTATATGTCATTGTGTGTATCTGTGCAGGAGTGTGTGTACACCTAGCCTGGCCTGTCTTTGTATGTGAGTGACAGTATCTTTGTGTCTGTATCTATGTGTATCGCTGTGTTTATGCCTTTGTGTTTTTATGAGTGTGTGAGGGGGTGGTAACTCCTCTACCTACTTACCTTACCAATTAACCATGGTGAAACCCTCTTCCTGATGCTATGAGGTAATTGGCGAGGTTCAGGACTGTGGCTCATGCAGCTTCCATATCTGCGTTGGGTACGCGGCTGGCCACCTCTGATTAGGACAGTTGGCTTTGTATGGTGGGAAAGAAGTTCAGCATACAAACTGTACATATAGACATCCCCAGACACCTTGGCTGATGGAGGAGGTGTTTCAGCTAATTGAAAGAAACCAGTAGGCCCACTCCCACCGCCTTTGCTCGACGCTTCGGAAAGCTGTGCAGCACTGAAAATGAATGAACGATGGTCGCGGGTGGCTGAGGAGATGGTAAGTGCCCCGGTAGCGCACAGTTAGAAATCACTCTTTACCTCAAAAAGGTAATTTGCAGCGCCACACCCCTACTACCATCCTGAAGGGATAGAACGCTGATCCGATCTCCGACCCTCGGGAACAGGTTTGCTGAGGATTATTTCTGTGAGGTCTTTTGGGGGTTAGGGGAAAACACTCGGATCAAATAAAAACCATGGGACAAGGTTGACCCTGCTGGGGCAAACTCTACCTCAAATATTGGAGGAGGTCGCCGCTGATTGTGAGTGGCTTGCTGATGTGTTGAGGAAGTGCAACATGCAATCCAGAGCCTGACACCAGATAAAGGGCCGGGTAGAGATTGTCCCCCCAAGCAAGCTGCTGAGGGAGGCTGGCGTTTGTGTGCAAACTCCTTGAAAGATCTGGACAAAGTCCCTTCAGTGAGCTCCTCATGCAACCGATGCTGCGTTGACTGGGTTATGTAGACCACATGCCCAGCTACCGCATGCAGGATAGATGGGGCTAAATAATGGTGGCACGGGCTAGAGGAGAGATGGACTGATGTGGAACAGAAGGATTTGGAGCTGATTGGACTTGCCGATGACTGGTACCAGCGGTGACAAGATCGGCTTCTGTGGAGGAGACTCACGAAGGACTGCTTTTTATGTTTAGTTTGTTGTCCTTCCCCCCCACCCCCACCTCTGAATTAGCATGGTTGGCTACGTACGGTGCGAAAGAATTTCAACATACACACTATGGGCAGTTGGAAGCAGTCACCCTCCAGGAACAATGGAGGGTGGTGGAGTGACACAACAATGAGGGGAGCGCCGTGCAGCAAAACACAGCAAGTTGGCACAGTGGGGAGCACAGGTGGAGCCTGTGGCATTTCAGAAAGTTAACCCACAGTATCTGGGTCTGTCCGGTGATCTCCTGCCAGCGAGCCTTTGACACCTGGCCTCAAAAGTGCTCCTAGCCTGGCACAAGCGCCGTGGCGATATCACCGCCACTTGTGTGTGTCTGTGTATGTTCTTGTGAGCGTAAGCTGTAAGGCAGGACTAGGTTGTGTGGTGGGGGCAGTATAAGCCTTTGGGGATGAACCCAAGCAGAGCCTCTAGGGAGACTTCACCGTGCAGATGTCACAAACATTTCCCAGTCATAATGTAAATAACAGTTTTGTTGATATTTTCACAGTATTATATATTTGCAGTAATTAAAAAATATATAGCTTTTTCATTAAACGTTAAAATGCCTATCGCTGTAAGCGAGAGAACATTGAGCACTCTGTGTAAAAAACTGCATTGCATTGGCCTAAGAGCTGCTCATTGTCGGGAGTTTGACTTTTGTTCCATTTGTGCCGCGGTTGTCTCCTGTCGCTTGGAAGAAGGAAAAGTGCTCCTGCCCCGAAACGCGTTGAGCTTCAACTACTTTGGGCGACCTTACGACCTGCAGGTGGTGGCCGTCCGGGGACAAGGTGGTGGCGCGGAGAAGGATGTTGCCCCGAACTACCCCAGTTGTTTTGAAGCGGAGCCCAGAGGGAGCAATTCAAGTGGCCGTAGTCCCCCACTGCAACAGGAAGTCCCAGTTACCGGCGTGCCAGGGCCTGTGAACGCGTCTTCGGAAAGAGAAGAAGGGGTCCCTGCTTCAGATGAAAATGCGTTTGAAAGAAACATATGCGCACGTCTTATGGACATGGCATTGCAAACGTCGCCGGAAACCTCGTGGTCGCCCGACAGCAAAGCAGACGCTGCTCATCCTCCGCCGGGCTCCGATGCGTCGCCGCCACCTCGCCAAGACGCCGCTTTGGACGTCGTGAAAACCGCGCCGTGCTTCTGCGTGAAGTTCCATGTGGGGGATCTCTTCTGCATCTCGAAGGGAACGCGTGTCAAGGTGGAGTTGGGCAATGCGCCAAGCACAACGGTGCCCCAGCAGCAGCAGCGGCCGGTGACGTATGCGGACATCGGAGGCTTGGGCCCGCAGCTGCAGGCAATAAGAGAAGACATCGAGCTGCCCCTCCTGCATCCGGAGGTGTTCACGCAGCTGGGTGAGAGGCAGCCCAGCACCGTGTCTTCCAAACCGCAGGCACCGCGTTAACTCGCCGACGCTCGTTTTAGCTTTCAAACTTGCGCGGCCCCCGAATCCGCGAATTGAGATTCCAACAATCTGTCGTTCCTTGCTTAATCAAAAAAATAAAACCCGAGCTGGTTCGCCGCTCCATGAAAGGGAGCCTCTCTTTTATTTGAGCAGTTTATTTGCCGATGCTGCTGCGATGGTAGCAGTGGCGCATGAGCGCAAATGACAAATGAACTCAACACGTTTGTCCTTATCGCACTGCTCCCTTAAAAAAAGAAAACGTAGAGAATTGGCAATGTGTTTATTTCTCGAGCAACGCTCCGTCTCGACACAGTGCAAAGGCCAGAGAGGTCGAGCGATTGATTGATTATATGATTATTGAAACAGTTCCTCACCCTGGGCGTCAAGCTTATAATTTCGTGACCCGACTCACTCAGACACGCGACCCTTTCCTGGCCTCACGAGTTCCCACCCGATTATGTGCAACCCACGCGTGGAGAAGCAGATAGTGCGTCACGCATCGTGCTCACGTCGCCACTGTGGCTCGCGCAGGCGTGTGTCCGCCCCGCGGGGTCATCCTGCATGGCTCCCCTGGGACCGGCAAGACGATGATCGCCCGAGCCGTGGCCCACGAGACGCGCGCTCATTTCTACCTCATCAATGGACCCGAAATCTTCAATCGGTACGAACGTGCGCTCCATGTTTATGGACGTTCTTCCACGCAGACTGGCGCCCGCGAGACCAGCGGGCCCCTGCATAAACGCGCACAAGACTGCGGCGTATTTTGTGGATTAATCGAAATTAACCACGTTCAGAAATGCCTTGCTGTTACAGCCCCTTGTGCGGCACAATGTGGTGTGGCGCGTGCGGTGTGCAGTCTCACAATTTCTCTCAACAGGTTTTATGGAGAGAGCGAGGCCCGACTGAGGAAGGTGTTTCAGGAGGCTTCCATGAAGTATGTGGAGCGTGCATCTCCCCGCATCGCCGTGTGCACACACACACCCGGAGCCGGCGGACTTCCGCGATGCCACGAGTGTTCGTCCCGTGCTGCACAAGCTGATGAGCCCGTGCGGCCCCTTTCACTGACAAAGCCCCCCGCATGTGATTGACGTTTTCCGCGGCATTTCTCTGTTGTGATTCTTTTGACCGAGAAAGTAAAACGTAATCGCCACAGTAGTAGCGGGAACCTGATTTACCTGCGTAGGTTTGCGGTTAACGTTTAGCCTAATACATTTTTTCGACGTTGCTAGTTAGTCTGCTGTGTTGGCGGCTGCGATGAGATGAAGGCTGAGCCGGGCGTTGTTGCTGCTCGTTGCTGCGCTGCCCTTGTTGCTACTGCGTTGTTGCTCCGCTGTTGCTGCTGCACTATTGCTGCTGCCGCGTTGTTGCGGCGTTATTGCTGCTGCGCTGTCGCCTTGTTGCTCCGTTGCTCCATTTTTTCTGCATTGCTGCTGCGTTTTTGCTGCTGAATTGTTGTTGCTGCATTGCTGCTGCTGTTGCGTTACTTTGCTGCTGCTGCGCTGTGTGGTGCAGCCCCCCAGCTCTGGTGTTCATCGACGAGCTCGACGCGCTGTGCCCCGCGCGCGGCGATGGTGGCGGAGGAGGGGACGACGTGGGGAGACGCGTCGTGGCCACGTTGCTCACCCTCATGGATGGACTCGGCTCGGTGAGGAGTTTGTTCAACTTGCTATGTTGACTATGCGTTAAAACACTGTTAGATGTAGGGGGGAAGGAGGCACACGATCTTATTATTTAAGTTTATTACTTATATTCTGTACGATGGCACTGATTATTTTGTCTTGTGTTGTTCGAAGAGTTTAGCGATGGGCGTATGCCAGTTCACTAGTACTGCTTCACGCAAGCCTGACCCTGCTGATGAGACGCTGAACGTTCAAACCGCTCCAGTTTGCTTATGTTGAAGCAATGCTGCTGAATTTACACACTCCCAGGAATCTGTGTGGTTGATGGTATGTGTAAAATGTACAGTTATTTTTGTACAATCCCTCATCAACCAGCAGGGTTAGGGTCCTGGAAAGGGCCACAGTAGGCAAATCCGTGGTTGTAAAAGTATAGGGGGTCTATAGGATTAGGGGAACCTCGGTCACGGTCAGACTCCTCATAGCTGAACTAAGTTGCCTGTTTATTCACTAAACACCGAATAAAATGCAGTACATTACACAATAACAATAAAACAAATGAACATTACTTTACATTTAATATTAACAATGATGATGTCGATGACAGTGAGATGATGGGGGAGGGGCTAATTAGAATGGGGAGGGGCTGAGCCCATCCTCCCCCTCTTCCTCCGGGCCATCAATGACAGATGAATGGGGGCAGGTGTATGCGTACGTCATTGGAATAGAATCGTAAGAAAACATAAAATAAAATAATTCCCATAAGGCCATGCGGGAGGGCATGTGGCACAGTTTGGCACCAGTTGTGACAGTACTACGCTTCTCTAAATAAAATAAAAACATTCTTTAAAAACGGTGAGCCGCTTGCACATTCCGAGATTTAGCGGTGAGCGGGACCCACACCCTGCAACTTGCAGATGGCTCGGAACGGGAAGAGGTTATTGTGAATGTGGTTGCGATGTGACGTGGTCTATGCGTGAATGCATTGCATAGACCACGGGTAGCGAGGTGGCATGGAGGAGAACCATGTAACTGCGTGTTACGGACCCCTCCGTGTGTGTTATGGATTCATAGACTAACGGCAGCAGACAATGACGTCACGCAATACAATGATGTCATGCTGTGATGCAATGAGTTTATGGACACGTCACGTGACTTCCTTGACACCGTGCTTACCCGTGGATACTCAACATTTCCAGGCCGCGGTTGGTAAATTGGTATACAGATAGTAAACCGTCTGTGTACATGAATCCGCGGTTGTCAAGTCCACGCTTGGCGAGGGATTGATGTGCATGGAGACAGGTATGTGAAGGAGGCGTGTTGCCTACTTCTTTAGTTTGCTACTTGTATAGAGATTTGCATTGGTTTACGTGGCCTTGGCAAGTGGAGGCACACACAAGCCTCTCGTAACATAGTATACGCCAAATACTACAGTTGGGAAAGACAAACACTTCATAAAAATAAACTAAACTTAACGCATGTCTGTGTTTATCAGTCTTTGGTTCTTTCAGTACAGTCACATAGAAAGAAAAATGAATTAAATAATAGAATACGACGTTTCGATTGCAACACAAGCAATCGTTATCAGGTAAAAATTCATGAGAAAATAAACCTAGTCAACTTAGAAATACAATGCAATACAACACAGAGAGTCGGCTAACATAACAGTCAACACCCTCCCCGGTTGATTACGTTCTTCCAAAGATTGCTAAATTTGAGAGAGAGACAAAACACAGACACAGAGACACACAGACAGACACACAAGCAGAGAGAGACAACACAGAGACACAGAGAGAGACACACACATAGACACACAGAGACCTGTATGTCTCCGTGTCTGTGTTTTGTGAGGTGCTGACTGTTGTGTTGGCCTACTCTCTGTGTTGTATTGCATTGTATTTCTAAGTTCACTAGGTTTGTTTTCTCATTAATTCTTACCTGATGACGGTTGCTTGTGTTGCAATCGAAACATCGTATTCTATTATTTAATTTATTTTCTTTCTACATGGCTCTACCAAAACAACCAAAGAGTAATTATTGCAGTCACGAAAGCTTCAAATAAAGTTTGTGTTTATCAGGTTTAAACATTTCCTTGTATTCATCATTAACCATGCTGGATGAAGGCCTTCCAAAGCTGCTGCTGCCACCTCTCACGATGTGTGATGCACCTCATTTTAAATTGGTCCATCTCCTCGGCAGCCGTTTTCTCTAAACTCGTCCATTCCTTGGCCGCCGCCGCCCCATCGTTATTATTCTGGACCGCCGTCGTCGTCCCACCGTCCCTTCTGGCGACGTTGGCCTCAACGAGCCTAGCGGGACTCCTCTTTGCCGTGCGTCGCTGCGCAAATTTCTCGAGTGCTTTAAACGAACATCCCCCGCGCGTCGCGAAGGAGCGCAGCCGCGGGCAGCTGCTCGTACTGGCCGCCACCAACCGCCTCCATGCCATCGACCCGGCTCTGCGCCGCCCGGGACGCTTCGACCGTGAGCTGGAGGTGCCGCCGCCCGACGCCACGGGCCGCCGGGCCATCTTGGAACGGCTCCTGGGGCGGCCGGGGCTGCCGCATGTGGTGACGGGCCCGGAGGTTGCGGCGCTGGCGCGCGCCACTCACGCCTACACCGGCGCCGACCTGACGGCGCTACTCAAGGAAGGAGGTGGGGGCGCATGCACCAGCACCGTGCGGAGAGAGAGAGCGAGTGTTGGGGCGCACATTGCCGAGCGTAGGCTCCCCAAAAGGCTAAAAAAACGTCGAGCGGCCGCCAACAAAAAAAGTGCCGTCAACAAAAAAAGTGTCGTCAAATTTGTAAAGAGATAAAGAGGGTGCAAAGCGTTTCTTGAATTGAGCAACGTTGTGATAATCATAAGGGTTTGGCGGGTGGGGGGAAGAGATGATGGGAGGGAATTCCAAGGTGGAGAAGTGCAAGGGAAGAACGGAATGAGAACTCGCTGTGACCTGCAGTGTGGTGAGTGGGTGAGTGATTTGCAGTGTTATTGTGACCCGCAGTGTGGTGAGTGGGTGAGCGAGTGGGTGAGTGATTTGCAGTGTTATTGTGACCTGTAGTGTGGTGAGTGGGTGAGTGATTTGTAGTGTTATTGTGACCTGTAGTGTGGTGAGTGGGTGAGTGATTTGTAGTGTTATTGTGACCTGTAGTGTGGTGAGTGGGTGAGTGATTTGCAGTGTTATTGTGACCTGTAGTGTGGTGAGTGGATGAGCGAGTGGGTGAGTGGATGAGTTGTAACCTGCAGTGTGGTGAGTAGGTGAGTAAGTGTGTTGTTGTGACGGGCGTGGTGCTGGCCACCCACCCCCTCGTGTACCGTTCCGGCCTTCATAGGTGCTCGCTAACAGCACTTGCCCCGACAGTCTGTTAAGGCTATATGGGGGATCTTTGTCTTTGTTGTGACCTGTAGTGTGGTAGTTGTATAACATGTGGATGAGACGAAACACTCTGGTGTGCCATTAAACACTTGGTTTAAATGTTGACCTTGCAATATTTGGTGAAGGTGGTCGTACATTTGCATTTACGCTGCACGATTTTCAGTAAATTTGATCAACATTCGATTAGGTTCACTGTACACAGTGAAGGCATTGCTCTGTGCGTCACTTGTAACTCCTGTGGGCAATGATGGTATATTCTAAAGTACATTTTAAAAGCCATTGCAGTTTCAAATTTTAACTGCTGTGTATTATTTACATGCACACACGTGAACACATCTACAGCGCGTGTATGTGTGTGTCATTCTCTAGACTCGATCTCTCGAAAATCGTGTCCTCAAGTGTCTGGCTGTTTTAATGGTGGTGAGATGTTAACTACCTCGCCTCGTCTACAGGAGATCGTAGCGTCGATCCCGACCCTAACGCCTGCTTATCTGGAGTTTGCATGTTCTCTCTCCCCGTGGTCCCATGGAGTCTTCTCCGGGTCGTCCGGTTTTTACCCTCCACATTTATAAACGTGCTTAAACAGTATTTGGCTGCTATACATTTCCATGTGATAAGCCACTTTGTCGAGCTATCTTTTGTGATGGCCAGGTCACTTCTGTAAAAAGAGCCACATAGCTCAGTGAGGCCTTACCTGACAAAATAAAAAAAACATCGGTTTGGTTTTTGACTGCGGCACGGGTTTCCCCATCGTCCGCCGATCTCTGCACCCGGGCAGTGATGTTGATGCCCATTGCCGTGCCACGAAAATAAATAAAATCCATCCCTCCACATAAAAAAATGTAAGTATATATTACACATCCCATCAGCCACACGGCCCTGGCTGTGTGTGCAACATTTCAGCAGTGAGTCCAACTGAGTCGCAGATGTAATCTTAGGAGCAACACTATTTATTTACACCACAGTACGTAACATAACACAATCTACACTCGGGTCTTGAATGCCCATCTAACAACGCTACGGCAGAACTAGACACTGTTCGCTATCCCGGTCCGGACCACAAACGGGGTCCCGGACTGTGTGGCTAGAGGCTTCTTCTCCCCGACGTGGATCTTTTTCACACTGGCACACGAAGAACCCCGAACTCCTTACGGGGCCCTCGTTATATGCTCCCGGGCTGGGGCTGGCTCCGCCCTTCGCCCCGTCCACCTTCCAGGTCTCTCGAGCTCTTTCTCGAAGGTTCCCGATAGCTCCTTTGGACCACGTGACCGCCCCACGGTCACCGTCCACCGGTGGCCCCCCTCCTATATCATCGGGTCACGTGTCAGCAGGTCAACCAGCGTATCATGCCCCAAGGTAACCCTGGCTGGCTGACGCTCCCTCTCGCTCCCTCACCGGGAGCCCGCACCGCACACTGCTCGCGGTGCCTTCGCGCTAACCAGCGCTCACCAAAGCTCCGCTAGGGCTGGTACTACACCCCATAACCCAGGCTGCCCGTAATGACAACACATTACCCGCCGTGGCTTTGTAAGCCCCGGCACCATACAGTGACAAGCACAGTCACTACACAAGCATTCTGGAGAACTGCCAGATATTTTATAGGCAAGGGCCCTTTCTGTTAGATGTTGTGTCCTAGTTTTAGCTGAACTTTATAATACACAACACAGGAAACAGTTGTGTTGCTGTGCAGAATAGAAGTAGTAAGCTTTCCGTATTGCAAAGCCAATGGCAGGCAAGAACAAGGCTATGAACGATGAGGAGGTAGGAGAACACGGACAGTTTCTGACTTGGTTCTAAACGACACGATCACCAAGCCTTAGGGAGGCAACCTGATTATTGGTAGCACCACCTGAATGATTGTATTAAGATTACGAGCACCATCACGTAATATGGAGCATTGAAGGTGTGGGGGGGGGGTGAAAAATAAAGAAGAGGCCACATTATCTGACGCAATCATCTCGAGCACGCTGAAGAAAATCTGAGATCGGAAAGTGAGTGAAGGTGTTGAGCCAAACGGAGACTGCACACAACTCTGTAGAACCGTGAAGGAAAGACTTGAGAGAAATTACGGAACTAAAGACGAACGTGATTGGGAAGGCGTGACAACGGAATGGGAGCATGAACGTGGTAGCAAGAAAGTTGACGATTAGGAAAATCTCAAACGGTCACCCCAGGTGAGCAAGGATGGCCCATAGGTGCGTGATGAATCGGCATCGTGGACCTCGAGGAGGGTGGCTTCTATTCGGAGCGTTGGGGAAAAAAAACATTGGGATGCGGCGCCCGAGTTGGCGCATTTGTGTGTGTGGTGGGAGTGTGTTTTTGTGTGTGTGGTGGGTGTGTGTTTTTGTGTGTGTGGTGGGTGTGTGTTTTTGTGTGTGTGGTGGGTGTGTGTTTTGTGTGTGGTGGGTGTGTGTTTGTGTGTGTGGTGTGTGTGTTTTTGTGTGTGTGGTGGGAGTGTGTTTTTGTGTGTGTGGTGGGTGTGTGTTTTTGTGTGTGTGGTGGGTGTGATTTTGGGTGTGATGTGGGTGGGTGATTTTCTTTGTGTGGTGAGTGTGTGTGTGTGGGTGGGTTGTGTGTTTTTGTGTGTGTGGTGGGGGTGTGTGTTTTGTGTGTGTGGGTTGGGTGTGTGTTTTTGTGTGTGTGGTGGGTGTGTGTTTTTGTGTGTGTGGTGGGTGTGTGTTTTTGTGTGTGGTGGGTGTGTGTTTTTGTGTGTGTGGTGGGTGTGTGTTTTTGTGTGTGTGGTGGGTGCGTGTTTTTGTGTGTGTGGTGGGTGTGTGTTTTTGTGTGTGTGGTGGGAGTGTGTTTTTGTGTGTGTGGTGGGTGTGTGTTTTTGTGTGTGTGGTGGGTGTGTGTTTTTGTGTGTGTGGTGGGTGTGTGTTTTTGTGTGTGTGGTGGGTGTGTTTTTTGTGTGTGTGGTGGGTGTGTGTTTTGTGTGTGTGTGGTGGGTGTGTGTTTTTGTGTGTGTGGTGGGTGTGTGTGTTTTGTGTGTGGTGGGTGTGTGTTTTTGTGTGTGTGGTGGGTGTGTGTTTTTGTGTGTGTGGTGGGTGTGTGTTTTTGTGTGTGTGGTGGGTGTGTGTTTTTGTGTGTGTGGTGGGTGTGTGGTTTTTGTGTGTGTGGTGGGTGTGTGTTTTGTGTATGTGGTGGGTGTGTGTTTTTGTGTGTGTGGTGGGTGTGTGTTTTTGTGTGTGTGGTGGGTGTGTGTTTTTATGTGTGTGGTGGGTGTGTGTTTTTGTGTGTGTGGTGGGTGTGTGTGTTTGTGTGTGTGGTGGGTGTGTGTTTTTGTGTGTGTGGTGGGTGTGTGATTTTGTGTGGTGGGTGTGTGTTTTTGTGTGTGTGTTTTTGTGTGTGTGGTGGGTGTGTGTTTTTGTGTGTGTGGTGGGTGTGTGTTTTTGTGTGTGTGGTGGGAGTGTGTTTTTGTGTGTGTGGTGGGTGTGTGTTTTTGTGTGTGTGGTGGGTGTGTGTTTTTGTGTGTGTGGTGGGTGTGTGTTTTTGTGTGTGTGGTGGGTGTGTTTTTGTGTGTGTGGTGGGTGTGTTTTTTGTGTGTGTGGTGGGTGTGGTGTGTTTGTGTGTGTGGTGGTGTGTGTTTTTGTCTGTGTGGTGGGTGTGTGTTTTTGTCTGTGTGGTGGGTGTGTGTTTTTGTGTGTGTGGTGGGTGTGTGTTTTTGTGTGTGTGGTGGGTGTGTGTTTTTGTGTGTGGTGTGTGTGTTTTTGTGTATGTGGTGGGTGTGTGTTTTTGTGTGTGTGGTGGGTGTGTGTTTTTGTGTGTGTGGTGGGTGTGTGTTTTTGTGTGTGTGGTGGGTGTGTGTTTTTGTGTGTGTGGTGGGTGTGTGTGTTTGTGTGTGTGGTGGGTGTGTGTTTTTGTGTGTGTGGTGGGTGTGTGTTTTTGTGTGTGGTGGGTGTGTGTTTTTGTGTGTGTGTTTTTGTGTGTGTGGTGGGTGTGTTTTTGTGTGTGTGGTGGGTGTGTGTTTTTGTGTGTGTGGTGGGAGTGTGTTTTTGTGTGTGTGGTGGGGTGTGTGTTTTGTGTGTGTGGTGGGTGTGTGTTTTGTGTGTGTGGTGGGTGGGGTTTTTGTGTGTGTGGTGGGTGTGTGTTTTTGTGTGGTGTGGTGGGTGTGTGTTTTTGTGTGTGGTGGGTGTGTGTTTTTGTGTGTGTGGTGGGTGTGTGTTTTTGTGTGTGTGGTGGGTGTGTGTTTTTGTGTGTGTGGTGGGTGTGTGTTTTTGTGTGTGGTGGGTGTGTGTTTTTGTGTGTGTGGTGGGTGTGTGTTTTTGTGTGTGTGGTGGGTGTGTGTTTTTGTGTGTGTGGTGGGTGTGTGTTTTTGTGTGTGTGGTGGGTGTGTGTTTTTGTGTGTGTGGTAGGTGTGTGTTTTTGTGTGTGTGGTGGGTGTGTGTTTTTGTGTGTGGTGTGTGTGTTTTTGTGTATGTGGTGGGTGTGGTGGTTTGTGTGTGGTGGTGGGTGTGTGTTTTTGTGTGTGTGGTGGGTGTGTGTTTTTGTGTGTGTGGTGGGTGTGTGTTTTTGTGTGTGTGTGCTGGGTGTGTGTTTTTGTGTGTGTGCTGGGTGTGTGTTTTTGTGTGTGTGGTGGGTGTGTGTTTTTGTGTATGTAGTGGGTGTGTGTTTTTGTGTGTGTGGTGGG